GAAATGGAACCATACATGGAATTCCATTGGTCAATCCCTCCCCCAATTCCATTTCTTGGGGATTGGGGATGCGAAAACATGTCGGAGTCTGAACGACTTGCTTTGCCCCCATGGCTTTCGCAAGAGTCGCAACCCCGAGCTCCAAGCGAGCTCCAGCCTGTCAAGTGCAAAATCCGGTAGCAAAGGGAAACATGCGCGGAACAAACGCGACGTCCTGACTGTCAGAGTGCCTCAGCGAGACAGCACGGATTCGGCAAAATCAACCTTCCGTTGCCCAGTTGATAGACAAACAGCCTCCTTGGGGGTTCCTGCCATTTTCTTAGAATATGGACAGTGCGACTCAAATGATCAACACAGCCAATGCGAGCGTGCAAACTATTTAGGAGGCATTCCTTAAGTAGAAACCTACATGCATTCTTTGGGATAGGAATAGGAGCGGGGCAGGGTGTCACATGAACAACTAAACCACTCGCTCTATCTACTAAAGTGATTCTTGGAGGGAACGCAAGCGAATTCGATCCCACGTGGCTCTCCTTTGCGGACCCTGGTGACACTTTGGTGCCCATAGCTTCGATTTGGTCAAATGGGACACCCCCAATCAAGAAACAGTTCATTTGCTCCCACGGGATCCAAAGCACGGCTGGGCCAGCCAACTCAGACATGTTTAAACCATGTCAGCAACTCTTAAAAGGGCACAGCATCAGGAACTCTTTGTTTCAACAAGATCCTTTGGGCGTCCCTTTGAAGGATACGAAAGGGCTCATTGTTTACACATGGCCCAGACCCCTCTCGCGCCAACATCCTTCGATCCTGCCGCCGAGCTGCACCTCCTTCTCAGCCCAGTTGGGCATCCCCACCTCAAACGAGGGGCTGTCATACCGCAGCGGGCCAGGGATGAAGTCGCCAGGAAATGCAACAAATTTGCAACCAGTGGAAGAAACGACACCAATCAAAACACCATGCAAACAGGGGGAAAAGGTTCCAGAACTGGCAGAATCAAAACCCAGATAGCGTGAGCCCGCAACACTGAGCTGGTTGCACTCGAAGGTTTCGCAATTCATGGAGCAGACCTCCAAATAACACGCAGCCAAACATCAGGGCTTCAATTTGAGCTGTAAGGACCTCCCTGCCTATACGTCCCACAGTCACTCTGACAGAGTCCAAGTACCCTTTCAGGATACCGTTTGACAATAAGGGTCAAAGTACCTCCTCACAAGTTCTTGGACCCTTAGGGCTATGGATGAAGTCCGAGTTCATGCTCAAATAAAAGAGAGAGAGAGAGAGAGATAACAGAAAGAGGTAAGGGAATCCTCACTAGACGCAGGACACATGATGTATGCCGCACACACTGTGGGAACCATCTTCACTTATGGCTGTGGCTGATGGCAAATCATGTCATGAAAATGGATGGGCCTGGGAATGGTTCTGAGCAAAGCGCACGAGGGAGCCATACTTCGAAGCCTTGGGCAAAGACCTCAACAAAATCGAGCAGGACTAGCATTATGCGTTTTTGTGAATACCGATTGCAACGTGCAGCTTAACCTTTTGAAAGCTCACAACAGTGAGCGGAAACCCTGGTCGCCAGGGGCTCTGCTTGAGGTTCAACAGCCCAGTTGACACTCCCCAGAACGACCCCTGGAGCCCTCCCTTGAGTCCGGAGCTTCTTTGGGCAACGATCTCCAGTCCGTGGTACCCTTCAGAGAGATGACAGCATTCCGCTCCCAAAATCTTTTCGCGACCGAGCTCAGCAGCTGACAACTTCATCACTTTGAAGCGATAGGCCCAACATCGGTCCCAGCATGCTGGCAATATTGTCTGTTGCTCGTCTGTCTAGGTCACCTGTATGCATCCATCATGGCAAGTGGATTACAACCATGGCTAATCACATATCTGGCCTACCCTCTCCTTCAAGCACGGACTCCCGCTTGTTCCCCTCATTCAAGCACCCTATTGTTTCAACAGGTCAACGGGGTATACCCTTTATAACAGTGGCTGTATGGTGGCTCTCTCAATTCTATATATACATATATCGATCGATACACATGTACATATACTTAATTAATCCTGAATAATATAATCTACGTATGCAATGCATCTCTAAAATATGTATATATATATGATATATATATATATATGTATATATGTGATATATGATATATATATATATATGTATCTATATGTTCATCCCCATCAAAGCGCTGCACTTTTGGCCACGGATGTTTCCACCCGAGGCGCCAGTTTGTGCCTCAGCGCCACAGGAGGCGCCTCCGGCTCCGGCGCCGCCTTCTCTGGCGCCACCTTCTCTGCCGCCGGGGACTGTGGCCCCTGAGAGGCTCGGACGCGTGCTTTAAATGGGGCTGGTTGTTTTCAGGGGACCCCCAATATGCTGGTTTTTCCATAAACTCAACAGATGTTGTAGGGGACCCCATCCACTCTGGGTGTGTCTTTCTGTAGGAATCCCCCCTTCCCATACGGTGGTTGTCCTCGTGTTTTGCTCAAAAAACCACACGAATACATTACCACACACCCAAATGGCAGCCAAAGGCAATCCTCACCAAACAACCAGCCAGCCAACCAACCAGGCAACCACCCAGCCAGCCAACCGCGACGTCAAACGGTTTAAGTGACCTTTACGATGTCCACAGGCCCAAAACCACGCCAATGCTACACTCATCGCAATATGCACCGAGCTGAAGTAGATGACCCCCCAACAAGTGGCCCTCATCATGTGTCCATCCCCCGCTCGCTGCTCACTGGTCAAATACCGGATGATCAACTTGCTCTCATCTTGACTCACTTCCTGTGTGGTGTTGTCCAAACAAGCTCAACTGTGCTGTTTGCCTTTAACATGGCGTTCCACCCCCAAAAAAAGTCAACAAAACTCAGAGAGTGAGTCGCTTTTGCATTCAGAGATACAGCCGTTGTGTTCGATCAGTCACAGCAATCGCAACCAGCGCCGCCTCGCTGTGCTCATCGCCTTAGGAGCTAGCTGATTTGTTCTGTTTGATCATATCAGGATCCACAAAGGAAACCAATCGTTTTGGAGGTACCCCAACAATTGTGGCAGTGGACAAACGGCCTTCTGAAGAGCACTGCCCAAAATTCCACAAATGCTTCTGCTAGGTGTTATGATTGGTCTAGAGTATCTATCCAAAATTTGAGCTCTGAAACCATCATAAAAGGAACCGTGTGCAGAATTGGTCCCCTACTCCCTGATTTGGTAGGTCTGACACGCTCACTTCCTTCATGGCAACTTCCAATGGCAACTTCCAAGGGTCAAGGTGTCTCCCGCTTCTTCGGGCGACCAACTTTCCGGCTTTTTGACACCTCCCTGGAAGCCCCCAGCAAAGCCAAATGCAGCGAGTGGGCTTCTCTCTTTAGTCCCTAACCCAAACCGGAGTTGCCGCAGTGGCCCAAGTCCGATCTTCCCAACATGTATCAGGTCCAAAACTTAGGAAAACACCCGGGGCTGGATTCGACTTCCGAAATGGCTGGGTGATGGTCCAAACCCAAATCCCATGTCAGGCACCTGTGAAAAAAACATGTTTTTCTTGATCTAGGAGTGACACACTTTATGTTGAACATATTGTTTCCCACACTTATGTCCAAGGGAGGGGGGATCAGCCATGAAAGCTTATTCTGGGATAACCCCACCCTGGCCGACCCTGGCCCTCAGCGTTCCTAATGAGGTCTGCTGAAGGCACCCCCCTTGGTCTATGTTGCAGAATTACTGTGTCTGTTCTCAGTGAACATGAAACCGGGGTGCAATTGAGGTTCATGTAAAAACTCACTAATTTCCACTTGCGGTTTCGCCCCCTGGAGAAAACAAAACACATATTGTTCACTGACAGATTCCTTTTGACACCAAAACGGGACAAGAACAAAACATGTTCTTCCGCAAATGGGAGCTAAGGATTCGGACCAAAACTTCCCTTCCGAATCCTTCCTAGGTCCTCCAGTAGAGAGGTTAGAATCAGGGTACCCTTGTTTCTGTAGTCTATTTTAGTAGGGGACCACTCCACGATTTTGCGGATTCAGCGCCCACGCGCCCCCCGCTTTTCCCAGCGCTCGTGCGGCCAGGTGGCTGGAGGTGGAGTCGGAGGGTTGACTCACCGCGTCCACCCAGTCGTCCGCCACAGCCTGGACGCTGTAAGTCGGAGGTTCTGTGGCTGGGCGAAATCCATATTGCAACACCTAACAAACCAGGGGAAACCACTGTCTGTTGGTATTTACAGGGGGAATCATCAGAAACCATGTAAATGATGCCCACCAGGATTCCATTCCTTCAGCACACAATTCAGTTCTGACTTTGGTTGTTGGTTGGGTTTTCAAGGGGCCCCCTTTTCAAAACAAGTCGAGAGGAAGGTTCAACACAAATGCGTTTCTCTCCAAATCAATGTGGGCACCATGGACCATGGCCAGGTTTCCTTTAGAACTCAGCCCGTTTCTGGACTGCACACTTCCTAGGACAAGTCTCGAGGCAAACAACCCTACAGTAGGTGGTTTCCAGCCAGGTTCATGGGTTTGTGGCTTTTGTTTCAGGTTTAGTGTGGCTGTGGGTGTCCATATAACCCACAAGTTCGTCAGAAGCCAGCCAGCCCATGTGGCCAATAGGAAGTGAGTAACCCACTTGTGAGTCCTGTGGATGGACGAAATCCATTTCGCACCACCCAAGAAACGGGTTTCTGCCCACCTACTATGTTTGAGAGCGTTCCCTTATAGACACGGTGGTTTCGTGGTGGTACCCATTTCGGGTAATCTTCAAAGGGAAGCCGGACCAAAAACCACTGAATGCCCGGCCTCAAGCTTGAAAACATGGATTTATCAAGTTGAAGCAGCTTTCGGTATGGTCAAAGGGGAACTCGTCAGCACGATCACTATCCAATCCACAAACATGAGGGTCTTGGATCCTGCGGTTATCATTATCCCCTGATGTGGACCCCTTATTAGCGCTGATTTATTTCTTCCAAAGTAAGCAACCCGGTAAATCACTGCTAAGGGGTGTTGATTCGCTTAGTTGATACATGGAGTCTACCCATCTCCTTGATCTGAAAAAGAGGAAACCGGCAAGTTCAGATTCTGGAATCACTCTTCTAGTTCAAACAAGCAGGACAAACAAGTTCTTCCCAAGAAGTTTCAATTCACCCAGGATTCCCAACAAAAATCAAGTTCTCCCAAGAACTTCCAATTCACCCAGGATTCCCCAGAAGAAAAATCTGACCTTGGCTTCCAGAAACTCATTCCTTCGTGCCTGGGGATGGAAGATCCTTCCAGCCAGCAGGTCCTCGACGCCCTTCTGCAGCCCTCCGGCGATGGCCAGGAGCTCCGCCTGCGACGCGAGCTCCGCTCGATGCGAGAAACAGGACCAAAAATTGGTACGTACTTGCAGACCCCATTCCACCCCCTGGTGGTGTTCCTCTACATAAGAACTTAAGGCCGTTTTTTTGGGTCTTGGTTGTGGGAAACAGCGGGAGCAATTATGAGGGCTTGAATCTTGCAAAAAAGGTCAAGGGGCGTTTCAAGTTTCAGGCGCATGGGAACACAATGGGAACAAGACCCCTTTCCACCCCCTTGTGCTGTTCTTCTACATAAGACCTTAAGGCTGTTTTTTAGGGTCTTGGTTGTGGGAAACAGCGGGAGCAATGAACGAGGGTTTGAATCTTGCCAAAAAGGTCAAGAGGCGTTTTAGGCGCATGGGAACACAGGCCTTGCCTCCCTGTTGGTTGGAGAACAGGGCAACTGGCCAATCAACTTGCACATAATTCATATAGGAAAGTTGAACAAACCCCCCCCCCACAAACAAGTTGAACAAACGATGACTTCCAACAGGCCGGAGGTCATCCCCAAACAAATGTCACAATTCACATGGAACTCCAAGCAAAACTGAGTCACAAAAGAAATCTCCTGGCTCCTTGAATTGTGAAGTTCAGATATGCTGATTCTCGGGAGCACAACGTTGGACAGGGCTCAAACTATTGATGTTCTCAGGTGAGTCCCGCAGGAAACAAAGGGGACGCAAGGTGCAACAAATACTCCCTGCAAACTAACATAGAACCAAAAAAGGGAGATCCTCAAAGGCAGTCTTTGAGACATGACAGCTTCCCAGCTTCCATGTAGGCTGAGAGTAGATGTCACTTCCCGAAATATGTGGGTGAGGATAGGGGATGACGAAAGCAAAATCGAGGAAATCTGCTATCTACTTTAAGGTTGCTGTTGACCCCCCTGCGAAAAGTTAATCACTTTTTGGAGGTTTACTGGAAAACACCTTTATTTGCCGAAAAGTTAAAGTCTAAAGATCAAACCCAACAGCAGTCAAGCTTTCACCCAACTGAAGGGGACGAAGGGCAAGATCGCCTGCTCCTTGGTGCGTCCCTTGAGCATCTGCGTCCGCAGGTCCAGCGAGTTCCTCGCGGTCAGGCGAATTGGGTTCAAAAACACTCCCGGCGCAAACAAATTGGGGTGTCTAAAACCCCGCTTCGCCTGTGCCAAAAAGGGCCTGGTACAAAACAAAAAAAACACACACACAAAAAAAAAAACTATACCCCACGTTTGGTTTGCCTTCGGGTAAATTAAACATGATTGGCCATGGAGCATCTGGTACGTCCTATGAATTTGTGGCTAAAACCTCCCTACCCAATGACCCTTATGGATGTTCTTAGCCAGAACCCCAGAACAAAACTTTGTTAGAGGAGATTGATACCCCTCAACATGGGGTGAAAAGGGCCCACCAGGGACTGGCAAAAAACCCTCGCATTGCACGGAAGAAGGTGACTCCCAAGAAGACCTAGGGATGTTTCTTCTAAACAAAGACGGGGGCCACCAATTTGAGAAAACCCATAGCTTGGATGGCACGTAGGGATGATTCTTTAAAACACCAATAACACAAAAACAACGGGCGGCCACCATGTTCATGGCAAAGGCCCTCTACTAGGGTTGGGGTTGGAGCATCTCCAGAATCCCAAATGAATGCCCATACATCTATCCACGACACGGATGGGGGACCAGTGAAAGCCAACCCAAGCTGCAAACCGGATAGGACACCGATAGTCCAGTGATAGTGTCCGTTGCTCAAATGGGTGTAGCTGAGATATCCATAGGCACTACACAAGCTTGTTCTGCAATACATAATTGTGAGTGCAATCATGCTCGTATGCTCTGTCGATGGCAGGGACGCAAACCAGAGATGACTGATGGGCAGCTGGCATAAACTAAGCTATGGACAAAACTAATATATGTAAACGTCACCATCATTCACCGAGCTGTACATGGAATCCACAAAATAACCTTCGGCAGGCAAATTTTCTCCCAGAGGCATTCTCAGGCATGTGCTCTGTTCGGCTGATCTTTCCGAGGAGGTTTTCTAGACCCGGATGATTGATCAGGGAAGTGGCACCCACATCAGTTTGTGTCACTGTGCAACTTAGCCGAACATGTTCAAGTCTACCAGAAGAATTTGGACACCTCAAAGCCAGAGCTAACTCTGACATCATTTGAATAGCTGGGCCCGCACACAACTGAGCTGTCGAGACCCAATTCCATTTGTGCTGGTCTTTCTCAACAGAAGGAAGATGAACTTCGCACTTGAGGAGCGGGTGAACGAAAGCTAGCAGTTGTTGCATGAGATGGGTCGGTGACAGAGTGGATTCATGGGTAGCTTGTGTACAACGAGAGGCCCGGCAAGATTCGTAGCATGCGACACGCAGACGCACATGGTGGCGTGGCAAACCTTGCAAAATGAAAACAACGAGAGGCGTCAGAAGCTGTCTTAAAGCACCTCTGGGTTCTGCATGCTGCGTGTGGAAAGATTCTTGCGAGGTGGTTTACTGAGAAGACTGAGGTCTCAAATGAACAAGCTGAATCGGTGGAACATGTAAAAGTTCGTAGCACCAAGTCCAAAACGGGCAAACGGAGACTGCTGAAACACTGAGCCACTGCCCGGGGGGAGGAGTGGACCAAGGAGGAATCGAGCCTGAGACGGGGGGGCGGGGGTCTAAATAATTGATTTGTTTCAATCTTTTCGGCTCAAATAATTGAAAAAATCAATCTTTCGGCGTCAAAGGCTTTATCGTTTGGAAGCATTGGCCAAGCACAATGGAATCAAAGCAACTAAGTAAATGCTGCAAGGAATATGAGCACGCCTCCCGGGTAGTGTACTCTATAATTATCACGCTAGCTGAGGGCTGGCATGTTTGATTCCCTCTTGGAAACCACGGCTGGATTACTTGATTCCCTTTTGGAAACCACGGCAGCTAGGAGTCGCGCGATTCGTTTGCGCTCTGTAATTTGCCTGTTCGTGCAGCCGACTTGCAAGAACCAAAAGAGGCCAACTTGCAAAAATCCCCTAACCCCAACGTAAGGGGGGCCGTTTTTGGATGTCATCTAAAGTAAAGCCAACAGTACGACACTCGACACTCGACACTCGCCTGGATGTGGCGCCATTGCCCCGGAACTTGATCGCCAGTGAATCCTTGCACGCGCAAGCTCGGAACAAAGTGGGTTTAGTCTAGTTAGCTCAGGTGCTGTCTTGCTCTTGGGAAATCTGGTTCGTTTAAAGCGCTGCTGGCATCATCAGTTGATTTGAAGCTGCCACGATCTCGTGGATTAAAAGCGGAAGGCTTGAGCTCCTAAACTCTGATAAATGTGGAGAAAGTAGCCCTTTGCTTACAACACATTTTGGCGGCTGGCTAGAACAAAAATATAAGCTGGTTTGCAAGCACACGACATGCAACCATTTTGTGGCTTCCGCTTCTTTCTTCTTGGGACCAATCTAAGCCTTCCGTCAAAAGGAACACACCCAGTTTGACATCCAGCAATGAGGGAGAGCCAATGCCCGAAGGGCAGAAGCAGGTCAAGATCACTGGGCTTGTCTGTGAGAAGGCTCCAAGGCCAGGTCTTGCTGAGAGGCTTAGCGCTGTAAGTGCTGCAAAAGTCGTGCTCGCAAACGGCGAAGCAGGAGCTGGAGAATTACTCCCAAGGCAACAGGGCAGCGCCCCGTGGCTACATGCTACAACGCTACACGCAGCTCCTTAAGCGTGATGCGGGACCATGAAACGCAGGAAGGCCTGCGTTGGCCACACTGTGGGCGGGCACCTTCCGCGAAAGAAGGGAGAGGAGGTGATGCACTAACGCGCCCACCTGCACAAGGCCAAGCCCTCTGCAGCCTCCCAATGGTCTCGCTCCGCCGCTCTGACTGAAAGCCGTTCAACGTCTGTTAGACGAGCTCGCGGCTCAGCGCAACGGCAGATTCCCCGACGAGTTGATCGTGGGTCGTTCTTTCAAACGGGGCAACACCTAGTAGAACCAACTTGGGTGGGCTTTGGCTCCGTCAGTTGCCGCGGCTTCTGGCGCTTGCTGCTTCCAATTCGCTGGGTGGATGAAGGGTGGAGTGGGGATAGTTCCCGTACCAAGACCACGCAGGCCACGCAGCGCTTTCCCTCTCTGAGTTCGAATGTCTTCGAACTGCAGCCGCTAACTACGGGGTTTCAAAGTGTTGCAACACGTGTGTCATCGTGTGTCAAGGCCTTCGGTACATGTATCGGACGCCATGTGACAAACTCTGCTGATTCACTGACCTACTCGGACCTACTGGGAGAACCTGGATTGGCTGCGGTCGAGCCTTGATACAGGGACCCACAAAGTCACTCCACGTCGTACCATTCATGTTTCTCGCATGGAATTGCAAGATCCAAGAAGTCGTCCCAATGTCGCCTCATCAGCGCTTCAGCCCATAGAATCGCAAGATCGTAGAATAGCCTGGTTGTTGCGCGATGCGAGGTAAAGCATAAACACAGAAAAAAGCATGGAATCGCAGCCGTAACCTTGCCTGTACCCTGCATCCGCCGTACAACAACCGTCCTCCATTCAGCCGTCGTGTGTGCCGTGGCAGGGCCCCGTCAACCCAACCTGCTCTAGTTTACGCTTGCAGCACACCAACACGGCTGCTTAAAGAGTCCATAGACTTGAAACAACCTGCCAAGTCGATCATCCGTACAGCTGCGGTCAGCTGTGCAACGTCTGTTTCACTAGTAGCTATGCCCCCCCAAGAAATTCCCCTGAAACCACCTCCGAACCCCCCTTCCCAAGTTGGTCCCTGTCAGCTGTCAGGAGGGATGGCGGGCGATCCAGACCAAGTTGAGGCCAAACCCCAAAACGCGGATTTTCCTCCGGGCCTCCCTTTACGCCACCAAAAAAAAGGTAACCAACTCTCTCAAGGCAGACCCAGGCGAGGATTGAGCTTTTTTTGCGACCCTCCTGAAACGGCGCGATCTCAAGCTTCTTCCGTGAAAAAATGCCAATGGCCCAGCATCCCTCCCAGTCGAGTCGGAAAAGAACCGATCCTTGGTCCCAAACTTTGATCTCAAGTTTTCAGGGCCGATACTTCGAATGAAGTTGCGGTTAAAACCCATACGTATTAATCCATGATCAGAAGAGAACCATTTCAGAATTGTTCAGGCCCTTGTCGGAGAATGGTTGCTGTGCGTGGATGGATTTCCCATAAAACCAAATCAGCCCAACGTGGTCTAATTACCATTCTGCAGAAAGAGGGATCTACCATTACGTAGGCAAAAACATCTACCATTCTGTAGAAACTCCCATATGGCCATGGGTCACAACCCCGTACCGCCAGTGAACATCCCAATCCCCACTAAAATAGGTTCTAAAATGGGTGGTGCACCTACTCCAAAATGGGATCCATATTTCCCGGTCCTCGTTCTCTTCCGCATCGATGACACTGATGCCCAGTGCTGGGTAGGCTTTCCGCCGCTTCCAGAGGTCTCCGGCGGCCGGCGAGCCGGGCGCGGCATTCTCCTCGGCTCGTGTTCGAGGTCGCTACACGTGGAGCCAAATGAGGCGTGTCGTTTCCAGGGTGCCCTTCAGGGCCGTGGTCGGAAGGGAAGACCAAAGGAACCCACCCACTGGGGATTTTGTTTGGGGTGTTTTTCCAGGGAAAAAGAAGGAAACCACCCACTTGGGAAAGTTTGGGAGGGTCCCTTGTTTTGACACATACCCAAATGGGGCTGGGGCAAGGTTGAGCAAAAGTTGCCCTGCGCCAAAATGTGATGTAATGGATTTAATTGATCTGCAAACAAACGTAAAACCAACCTCTGAATCAGCTACCCACCATTGGCGACTCCTTTCGCTCCTTTATGTGGCCTTGTGCCAATCGCCAAAAGCTGCCACCTTTTATTCAGCCGCAGCAGCAGTGAAACGCCCAATGTCTGTTGCCCAACGATTGCTGGATGGTTCTCTTTTTTCCAGCTCCCAAATCCGGCATACATAAAACCCCACCTGCGCAAGAAACGTCAACGTAAACCTACAGGGATTTCTTCCACGGCAGGGTGTGCACTCTTGGCCCAAAAACCTGGGCGAGCAAATGGTCGAACTCCGTGCTCAACACGAGGCAAGCAACTCATTGTCAGGCCCATGTGTATCTTTTCACTCCCTGTTCAGGGCTCAACATGTTTCAAAGAACCTGGAACAAAATGAACAAAACGTGGTTACTAACGTACTTACATGGACACCGACTGCGTCTCGTGAAAGGCGACTTTCCCTTTGGGGGCGCGCCCGGCCAAAGGTTAGGCTGATCTCTTTGGGGAGCCCCTTTTCCGTGTTCCGTGTGAACAAATGCACGGGGATGTGTCCTTTCGTGCCAAGAGTTGCAGGTCCAACTGGAATCTTGGGTGCCCAAAAAAAACGGATTCGGGTGCAATGACCAAAAGAGAACCCGTACCCTGCCTCACAAGCAGTTGGCATTTGGAGAGTACCTGGAAGATTGATTTCCTCTTTAAGGGACCCTTGGCTCCCTTGGCCAGGCGCGATGTTAGTAACTTACCACCGCACTGCCTGCGGGGATTGGCCAGAACAAGTCGAGAAACGGGCTAGGGGTGAGAGCATGGGGAAGAAGTTCAGCATGCGAGATCCCCGTGGTCTTCCCCAAGAAAAACCAAGTCCAGGAACTGGGGAAGTGAATAACATTGGTGTCAACACCCAAAAAAAAGCGCGAATGTCTGTTGTTAGGAGCTTCATCTAAATGGTTGCGCGTTGGTTTCCCTTCCCCCCCCCCCCCCCGCGTCCTGCCCCAAAGGGGTACCAACAAAAAAAAAAGACAGACCCAAACCGAGAGGAGACCACCGTGCGCCACTTCGAATGTCTAGCCGCCGGCTTTTCGCCGTCTTGCGCTTCCGGTGCCTCGCTCATCACTCCTCGCTTTTGGCTTCGGGCGACTGCTTTGGGTGTGGGGGGAACCCATGGGTCTGCCTTTTTTGGAGTGCTTTTGTTGAGGGTACTGCCCCATGTGGCTGTGGGTCAAAATTACACTAACAGGGGACCGCAGGTTTTAGTCAATTTTTCCATTTACCAGGGTTCCATTTTGGGTACCTATTTTTGACCCACAGCCAGGTTGACAGCCTGACAAGTCGGGTTCAAGGGCGTTGACAACGCTTAGGCCCAATGCAATTGCCAGCGGCTCAGCGATTAGAGACATCTCAAGCAGATCACACAAGAACCAGAAACACACATCACAAGTAGAAATCAAGCCCTGTTTCTGCAGCAATGATCGACACGGACATGCAAAATTGGTGTTGCAACATGTCAAGTGGAGAGGGGGCGTGACGGGCCAGGTGTGACTCTTAATCTTACTGCGATTCCCAGGGCGCTGACGGGTCCCATTGCAGTGCATGGGTCCCATTGCAGAAACACAAGCGACAATTAACGTGTGCTGCGGTTGCTTGGTTTGTTTTGGGGGTCCCCTACACCACACACACACAAAACACACACACAATCACACATACACAATCACACACACACACACACTATCACACATACACAATCACACACACAATCACACACACAATCACACACACAATCACACATACACAATCACACACACAATCACATATACACAATCACACACACAATCACACATACACAATCACACACGCAATCACACATACACAATCACACACACAATCACACATACACAATCACACACACAATCACACATACACAATCACACATACACACCCACACATACACAATCACACACACAATCACACATACACAATCACACACACAATCACACATACACAATCACACACACAATCACACATACACAATCACACACACAATCACACATACACAATCACACACGCAATCACACATACACAATCACACACACAATACACAATCACACACACAATCACACATACACAATCACACACACAATCACACATACACAATCACACACAATCACACATACACAATCACACACACAATCACACATACACAATCACACACACAATCACACATACACAATCACACACACAATCACACATACACAATCACACACACACATCACACATACACAATCACACACGCAATCACACATACACAATCACACACACACACAATCACACATACACAATCACACACACAATCACACATACACAATCACACACACAATCACACATACACAATCACACACACACAATCACACATACACAATCACACACGCAATCACACATACACAATCACACACACACACAATCACACATACACAATCACACACACAATCACACATACACAATCACACACACAATCACACATACACAATCACACACACACAATCACACATACACAATCACACATACGCAATCACACACAATCACACACACAAACACACATACACAATCACACATACACAATCACACACACAATCACACATACACAATCACACACACAATCACACATACACAATCACACACACAATCACACATACACGATCACACACACAATCACACATACACAATCACACACGCAATCACACATACACAATCACACATACACAATCACACACACAATCACACATACACAATCACACATACACAATCACACATACACAATCTCACACACACAATCACACATACACAATCACACATACACAATCACACATACACAATCACACATACACAATCACACACACAATCACACATGCACAATCACACATGCACACTCTCGCACATACACAATCACACATGCACAATCACACATGCACAATCACACATGCACAATCACACATGCACAATCACACATGCACAATGACACATGTACAATCACACACACAATCACACATACACAATGACACATACACAATCACACATACACAATCACACACACAATCACACATACACAATCACACATACACAATCACACATACACAATCACACATACACAATCACACATACACAATCACACATACACAATCACACATACACAATCACACATACACAATCACACACACACACACACACAATCACACATACACAATCACACACACAATCACACATACACAATTACACATACACAATCACACACACAATCACACACACAATCACACATACACAATCACACACACACAATCACACACACAATCACACATACACAATCACACACACACACACACACAATCACACATACACAATCACACACACACAATCACACATACACAATCACACACACAATCACACACACAATCACACATACACAATCACACATACACAATCACACGCACACACAATCACACATACACAATCACACACACACAGACACATACACAGCCACAGCCACAGACACAGACACGACACGACACGACGCGACGCGACACGGCACGGCACGACACACACACACACACGCGAACGCAAACACAAACGCACACAAACACACACTCCACATGGGCGTGCCTTCTTTAAAATTTGGGGACCTGGTGGACATCTCGAACGGGTGGAAGGAGACTCTTGCCACATCAACCAACTCTACCGTTTGCCCACAAGTCACTGCTGCTGTCCAAGTCACTACACATCTTAGCAGTCACCCTAGAAAGGGGTGGCTAAGTATTCAGGTGTTTGTGGGGTAGGGAGGGCCGTGCCGGTGCAGCCGAGCCGCCATGGGCCGCAGCCAGCGCAAGCTACGGCGCAAGCCTTGGCAGTCCATGTCGCTGCAGTCCTGAAAGCAACGGGGCGGGGTACATGCGCTTGAGAAGAGGTTCGAACGGAGTGATTCATATGGGTGTCAATTTCAACTAAAGGGCCACTGTGGACATCATTCAGGTGGGGAATCATGTCCAACAACCACTTCGGAAGTGGTTCCCTATTAAAATTCATAGCCATGAGGAATTCGGTAATTCATCACGCTGGACCACGTGAGAGGGGCCGTGCCAGGGGATCTAGGTCCGTGACTCACACGTCCATCTGCACACAGTCCAGTCAGCATGAATCCAAAAGCTTCATTTCCAACACGCAGGTCTTCTTAGGATTCGATGCACGTGCTGCTTTTCAATTTTTTCGGCTCGATCGAAAGAACATTTGAAAGTGAGATGTCCCTGACACCTTTACGAAAGCAGGAAAGGCACCACTTGACAAAAGGGATATGCCCTTTGCAACCAAAACAAGTGACAAAAACAGATCGACAAGAGTCCCCGTCCTTTTGAAGCGGGCAACAAGTCTTTTGTTCCGCACATGGGAAAGGCCCTTTTGGCACAGGCTTTGGGTACTGCTCGAAAGAGGTCTAAGTAGTCGAATGTATCAAATTAGCGGTACCCAGTAAAGAGTCGATTCCCTTCTCCACGGTGCCCTCAACAAAAAAACACAAAACACACAAAAACAAAATGGGCCCACCTGCTTCCATTTGCTTAAGCCCCCTGGACAAAAACACAGTAGTGATAGAATCCCATTGAACCCAACAAGGGAAAACAAACAATATTCTTAAGCAAATGAACGCCTGCATAGCCAGTGAGTTCGTCAGTTTAAAGTCTCAGCAGGCCAAGCGTGCCTTTTCAATGCGATCGATGGGTTTCTCGCCGACTTTCAAGTTCTTCACCATTGCATGGCCCAGCCGCCTTCCCAAGAAACACCGCAATGCTCTTGTCAAGTATTTGCAACTGAACGTGGCAAGGCCATGAATGACTACAGGCCAAAATGTCGCTTGCCCTGTTGGCAATTCATCCTTGCAACTTTGCAAGAAGCGCAGCCCGTGCCGCCTCAGCAGTGCTACTGTTACCAGTGTTCTGCTTCTTGGCTGGAGCCTTCTGCTTGGTGTCGTCATCGCCGCCATCACCGCCCGCTTTCTCTTTCTCAGTCTCTGCATCATCGACCGCGACCGTCGCCTTGCGCTTGGCTCGTGGGGCCTTCTTAACCTCCTTGATCTTCTCTGCGTTCAGCAAAGATGTCCTTAGTAGTTTCCACGTGACGTGCGCAGTTGCAACAAACAGTAAACACACTTGTGCGCCAAGTTTGTTGCCAGGGGGCAGCCCCACCTCATACAGCTCTGGGATATCGTCATTCTGGAAGGCGTCCCACAAGCTTTTCAGCACCTTCGCCTTCAGCAGGTCTGCGTGCTGCGAGGTAAAGCACACGCTGATGATAGGAACCTTGCGCTTGATGCACTCCATGATGAGCAAGTGGTCAACATCAGGAGCTCGGAAGACGCATGCGGGCTTGAAGCTGTGCAGCACCTCAGCCAGGAAGACTGGGCTGCTGAAGTGCCAGGTGGCCGGTTCAAGCCCCTCAGGAAGTGCGGGCTTTGGCTCGTTGACCGGGCCTGAGCGCATCGCGGATTTGCACGACATGATCTCCATATCTTAGAGGTAGCGTGAAGATATTCAAAGTATTTACTGCAAACTGCGTCCAAGCATCAAGGGCCACCGGTGAGCACCCTACCCTTGTCCCCATACAAGCCTTTCTTGTCGGCAGGGCTCATTCGCCAACAAGCTTTGTCGGTGTAAGGCAGCGCGCGAACTGGACCGATGTGGGTGCCGTGATTCGTCCCGCTGTAGTGCTTCCGCGCAACCTTCTCAATCTCTAACCCCTCAAGGGTGTAGCGCATCATGGACTCGGTTTGGTTCACGAACCCGCGAACTTTTTCGCGCCTGTCGACGAGGCTTTCTTCGTCGTAGCAGATTGTGAAGCACTGTCTGCATTTGTTCATCGAGCGGCCCGTCGAGTCAACAAAGGCTTGTGACACCGACGTGTCGTTGCCACTCCGCCCTCCATCCATGTAGATGACGAGGTCCGTCTTCTTCAAATCCCCCTCCTGGGCATTCTCCTGGTCGCCAGGTCCCCGCACTGCCGTGAATGCTTGCAGCATGCGGCGGAAATGCCTCTGCTGGAAGGGTGGCAAACGAATGTTCGGATTCGATGACGCCTCTCCAGCAACCTTCGAGTCGTAGAGCAGCATGCATGGCCCGCTCACCTTTTTCAGCACAGTGGGCTCCAGGACCTTGATCAAGTCATCTTTGCTGTCCTTGCCATGTCAAGTACTACTGACTCAGTCTGACACTGACTGAATTGGCAGCTGATCAGCTGCAAGAAAAGGCAGCTGTTCAGCTGCAAGAAAAGGCAGCTGATCAGCTGCAACTATTAAGCCAAGATGCATGATCCACCACCAAAGTGCAGAATGACTCAAACTTGTTGAGCAGAAAGGTCAGCCAGTCGTCCAGCTTGCCTTCGTCATCGACAGTCTCCAGCTGCTGCGCCGTGCACAAGTCCTTCAACGTCAAGGATTTGCCCTGATTGACGTCCTCATGGGCGCTTCCCGGCTCTTTGGAAGATGTGGCCATGGGATGGCCAGTGGACTCCTCCTTGTTCGTGATGCTGACTTCCTCGATCGCTTCCGACAGGAACTTCACCTGGCTGATCACCTCTGCGACCTCGCAGCTACCCTTCAGCGCCGTCTTCAACGCGCCATCGTTCGTCACGCCAAACACAAAGTTCTCCAGGATGCTCACCATCTTTCGCGTGCTCTCGCGCACCGTGCCCAGGATGGACTTTTCATTCCGCCTGACCAGCTGTCCACCGGTTCTCAGAATAATCAATAAACTAGGTTGCTCACTGAAGTTCTGCCGAGACGCGTGAGATCCCGGAACCCCTTGTGCGTGCGCAGCCTGGCCATCATGGCAGTGTCAGCCTCTGGCAGCTGCAACTTGCCGAGGAAGGGGCCCAGGAAGTAGTCCTTCAGATCCATCTTCAGGACCCACAAGTCCACCAGCCCCTTCTGCCGAGGTGCTCCACCCTGCAGTTCAGCACATTCGCTGGCCAAAAAAAAGACAGCAAAGATCAGAACGAAAGTAAGTTGGAGTCAGGGAGCCAGCGAGCGACCTTTGAATTCGTTCGGCGAGCAATCGAGGTAAATCATGAGGTCATCCATCGTCGCCAGAGCCCAAGCGATCTGGTCCGGGTTCTTGGTCTTCTCAAGGATCTTGGCAAGGGTCCACATTTGCGAAGTGGGCGACGCCTTGCCGAGCCTGTTGTCCATCACGAACACCATGTCCCGCAAATTCGGCACCGAGAGGACCCTGTCATACACCCGGATCGCCGTTTGAACGAAGTTCAAAGTGACGTTCTCTGCAAGGGCCGACTTGGACTCCGACACCTGCTGCGACCATGCTTCGTACAGCTCCTCTGCTGTCATCTTCTTCGCCGCTGACTCCTGGGCGGCCTTGTAGGTCATGAGCTCGTAAGTTCTTTGGCTTGCTGTTCGGACAAGAGCATCATAGTCATCGATGATCTTGTTGCGGAGGTTGACCTGCGATGTCGGCAGCGCACCAGGCGCTAGGCTAAGCTAGTACTACTTCTTAGGCTGTATTTTACTTCAGACTGACAGTCCCACACAGTAAACATCTTTGCTGGCAGTCAGGGCGCCCCTCTGAAGAACATTTTCTCTGGCGTGTCGATGACCTCAAACACGAAAGTTGCCGTCAGAGCGACCGTCTTCCACTCCCTTGGCAGCGGCGGTCACGTGCAGCGGCAATATTGTGTAAAACATGTTTTGGGGACCATTGGAGACAAGTTTCAGCAGAACATGCTCAGGTTCTTCGCGCTCAATGGCGGCTGCCAGCGCAAACAGGTAGGCGTGCTCCACCTCTTCCGGGCTCACGCGGCGCAAGTTCCCACGGCTGAGCTCCAAGTTCGCGCCCACCGCAACAATGATCGGCTTGTCGAACCTGGTCAGGGAAGACGTTTAAGAAAACTATGTTAATGATGGGATTCAATAGCCTCTGCCTCTTGGGCCCTTTGCAGAACATGCTGTGCTGCAAGTTGGTCACAGCTTGGCGGGAAATCGGCACTCGAGGGGCGCAAGTCCACCGCAAGTTCAGCCAAAAGAGGTTGCACGCGCTGTCGTACTGGCCGGCAGTCTGCGTTGCAGCTTCATAGGCTTGCTGCACAAACACTGCCTGGAATCGGATGTGCGGAAAAGGGTCACGCACACCCCCCCGGCTGTTGAGAGCCTAGGGGTGGACCACCCTAAGCTCTCAACAGCCGGGAGCGCTCCCGGCTGTTGAGAGGGGGGTCTATCGACCGCACGGCGGGTGTTGAGAGCTTAGGGTGTTCCACCCCTAGGCTCTCAACACCCGCCGTGCGGTCGATAGACCCCCCTCTCAACAGCCGGGAGCGCTCCCAGCTGTTGAGAGCTTAGGGTGGTCCACCCCTAGGCTCTCAACAGCCCCCTTGTTTTTGAGTACCACACTTTCGGGAATACGCCGGGAATATACACCAAGCTAAAAAAGGCACACGATTTCAGCCAAAACTTTTGAAAACCTGGCCTTGTGGCCAGCCGAGTGGGATGCCGCGTTCTGATTGATGCCGATGGGCTCCTCATGCATGATGTTGCTGAAGAGCGGGTGCTCCATGATGCGCTGCAAAGCAATTTCCAGCTGCGCATAGTGCGCCCGATTCACATCAGCCACCTCGCCAGGACCAGGATCCGCGGCGGCTGGCGCATCGTCGGCAGCGGGCACCGCGGCAGCCGCTGCCTTTGCCTTCGCCTTGTTCTTCGGCTGCTTCTTCGGCGACATGGCTGCCAAGAAGCGTGGTGCGGGGCCCGCTCGCTTAGAGCAATCTCAGCATCAGCGAGAATCACATTGATTTGCCACTGTTCAGTGGTTGAAGTTGCTGGCCAGCAATCACAGTCAGCTCAAGCTGCTGCTCAGCAGCATCATTTTCATGCAA